AAACCACAATAAGCCATAACATCTGGCGTATCATTACATGCAAACATGGCCATCAACTCATACAAAATCTGGGTAGGGGAACTTCAGGCCCAGGGGCCACAACTGGCCCTCCAGGCATCCCTGCCTGACCCATGGCACTCTCCACAGGCCACGCCCTCCTTGAGGTCAAATTTAAATACGTTGCTCCGCGCAGTTGTGTTTCTGGCTCCACCCATTTGGCCCCCAGAAGGCTCCCCAGGAAGGCAGGAGGCCCCCACTCCCACAGAAGCTGCAATGTATTCGTTTTGTATTGTCTTATGGATAAGCTCTTGCAAGGCTCCCACAAAATCCAAGTGTAATGAGAAGCGCAGGAATGCCCACATGATATATTTGCTGCATTGCTTCTGAAAAAGAGCCAGAGGAGACACTTGATCCACTAGCAATTTCCCTCTGGGCCTGCAATTCAGCTAATGCCGCATGCCGTCATCGCATGTGCAGTTGAGTAGACCTCTGCCTAGTTGTGTAGCCGATAGGATTTATTCTGTCTGCAGAATGTCTTCTTTAGGCGCTGGCAGTCTGAAAAGCTTGCATCCGTTGTGAATCGCCTGTGCTCCCAACCTGCCACAATTTATAGCAATTCCTCTGAGGGGAGGAGAAATAGGATGCCTTATACAGTGATACCTAGGGTTAAGTACTTAATTCATTTCAGAGGTCTGTTCTTAACCTGAAACTGTTCTTAACCTGAAGCACCACTTTAGCTAATGGGGCCTCCCACTGTCGTCGCGCCGCTGGAGCACGATTTCTGTTCTCATCCTGAAGGAAAGTTCTTAACCTGAAGCACTGTTTCTGGGTTAGGGGAGTCTGTAACCTGAAGCATATGTAACCTGAAGCGTATGTAACCTGAAGCGTATATAACCTGAGGTACCACTATACTGAGTCAGATCGCTGATTCCAGCTGGCTCAGAATTGTCCGCAGTGGCGGAGGAACCTGGGGCGGGGTGAATCGCCCGGCGGCACACACGCGACATCCCGTACGGTCTCTGTGTGAGAGGCAGCCGTATGGACGGCGTGCAAGAGTGGCAGCCCGTGCGAATGCCACGCGAGCGGTGCCCATACTAACTGCACGTGCGCCCTCAGCTGCTCTACAGCTGGGGGGGGCAGCAGGCCATCTTGTCACCCCCCCCCGAGTGGTGCCCAGGGCGGCCCGTCCCCTCCATCCCCCACTTCGTACTCCCTTGATTGTCCGTCTTGGGAGTCATTCTGCAGTCAAGATGTTTGCACCTTTAAGAACTGTTTCTGTGAGCTCTGGGCACATTGAGTACAGCTGGTCATGACTACAAAAGGAGGAAAAGTTGCAGTTTGAATCTGCCTGCAAGGAAAAACACCCTCAAGCTTTGTTGTTTTGTAATAAAACCTTTATTTGATTTGGTTTTGCACCGGTCTCCTGGTGTCGTAGTTTCTGTCACCTGCCACCAGAGGAAAAAACCCCTCTAACAGTCCGCACTGATGGAAGTCTCTCCCGCAGCCCTATCTGGAGATGCCAAGAATTCAACCTGGGGCTTTCTGCATTCGAAGCAGATGCTTATTTATCATGGGCTGGCCAAGTCGGGAAAATGCAGAGGGAGGATATGGGGAAGGCCTCCAGTGGGATGTGGGGCATCTGCTGGGAGTGGGGGAATCTTCTAGCAAGGATTGCAGAGTGGGGGGCTTCCTCAGCCTGCTCTCTCCCCTCCTCCCTTTCCACATTTGGTGGAGAACCTCTGTCAGACACAGCTGTCTGATACTGGGAATAGCTCTGCCTTCCCAGGAGAGAATAGTTCACCAGTCCCAGCCACCTCTCAGGTGGTAGCGACTTGTTCCCTGTCACTCAAGTCCAGGAGGAGCCCAAAGAGAAGGAAATAGAGAGCTCTGCCTACTGAGCATTGCAAGAGATTTCAGAAACTCTTTCAGCCTTAAGATGAGTGCACCCCGTTCCTATATTCAGGATAGTCATCGGATCAACTTTCAAAGCTTTGCCAGCTGGAGCGCCTGCCTTTGTTGTAGCTGTAATGAGGATTAGCAAAGAGTATTGCCTTAAGTGCCTTAAGCCAACAATCTGCCTATATACCACAATAATCTAAGCATAAAAGCCTTTGGAAAGAGTGTATCAATTTTCTTCAGCAACTGGGAGCCAGGACAATGCTCTGCTACTGAACTATGGCCATTCTCAAGGTTTCGTCCAGCTCTGATCTGAGGGACGGGTGCGGAGGGGAAGGTTCCAGCACCATGGAGAGCTCCGAGCAAACCACTTGTTCCATCAAAGGTAGAGGGGGACCGAGGTCCTCGCGTATATTCATGAAAACAATTTACAAATGTGAATTAAATTAGGGTAAGTGTCTTGCAAAAAAAGCGATGTGTATATTTGCCCAACAGGCATGCAAAAATCTGTCTATATACCTTAAGAAATGTCCAGATTTGTGCATTTTTAAAATGTTGAGTCTGCCATATTGATTCACAATGGTGGCCAATATCAAAACATAGTTGAAAAACCGCTGCGTGATCTCAGGAGCCATTGTGCCAAATTGCTTGTGTCACCTTAAAGGTAAAGGGACCCCTGACCATTAGGTCCAGTCCTGGCCGACTCTGGGGTTGTGGCGCTCATCTCGCTTTATTGGCCGAGGGAGCCGGCGTACAGCTTCTGGGTTATGTGGCCAGCATGACTAAGCTGCTTCTGGTGAACCAGAGCAGCACACAGAAACGCCGTTTACCTTCCCGCCAGAGCGGTACCTATTTATCTACTTGCACTTTGATGTGCTTTCGAACTGCTAGGTTGGCAGGAGCAGGGACCAAACAACGGGAGCTCACCCCGTCATGGGGATTCGAACCGCCGACCTTCTGATTGGCAAGTCCTAGGCTCTGTGGTTTAACCCATAGCGCCACCCAATAAATAGAGGATTTAGCTTTTTGCCCTCAGCTTTCATCTGACCTTTGTGTAGTTTATATGCCAGGAATTAAACCTAGAACTTCTAAATGTTGGTGGCCATCGCTGGCTCTTGTGGGAGTGAGTTCCGTAGTTTAGCTATGTCTTGTGTGGAAAAGTTCTTTTATCTGTCCCAAATCATTCAGTTTCATTTTATGTCCCTGAGTTATAGCATTAGGAGAAAGGGAGAAAAGCCTGTTCTACATCCACTTTCTGTGTGCCATGCATCATTTTATAAGGTTCTATCCTGGCACCTCTTTCTCTCCTTTTCTCTAAACTAAAAAATCCCAAATGCTGCAAATTTTCCTCATGGGAGAGTCATTTAAACCAAAGTCAGCTACAATTTAGGAGCAAATAAATGTCAGTAAAACCACACCTAAAAATAGTTTGCCCTCTTACTCAAATGCCTGGCCGGTACAATGATATCTATGGCCTCCAGGTAAAACCAGAATCCCTTTCCTCCTCCCCTCCACTTCGCACTGCTCAGATGCATATTCTGTCAAGTGGACAGCCGAGCCTTCGAAGTGCAGCACTTAGTTAAATTGCTGTGGGATTTATTGATCAGCGGTGGTGGAGCAATGAACCGTACGAATGCAGCAGTAATAATCAGCTCCTGGATAAATGGCCGCTTCGTCCCTGGCGTTGATTGGGAATAGCCAGTGTGGAGTGTCAGGCTCTAGCACCCGGGAGGTAAAGGTAAAGGGACCCCTGACCATTAGGTCCAGTTGTGGCCGACTCTGGGGTTGCGGCGCTCATCTCGCTTTACTGGCCAAGGGAGCCGGCATACAGCTTCCGGGTCATGTGGCCAGCATGACTAAGCCGCTTCTGGCGAACCAGAGCAGCACACGGAAATGCCGTTTACCTTCCCACCAGAGCGGTCCCTATTTATCTATTTGCACTTTGATGTGCTCAGGGTTCAAATCCCCCACTCAGCCATGGAGTGCATTGGGTGACCTCAGGCCTGTCATTAACCTACCTTGCAAGGTTGTTGTGGGGATTAAATGAGGAGGGAGAGAACCACGTACACTGCCTTGAGCGCAGCGGAGAAAAAAGTGGGATATAAATGCAATGAGTACATAAATACAGTGGTACCTCGGGTTACATACGCTTCAGGTTACAGACTCCGCTAACCCAGAAATAGTACCTCGGGTTAAGAACTTTGCTTCAGGATGAGAACAGAAATCATGCTCTGGTGGCACGGCGGCAGCAGGAGACCCCACTAGCTAAAGTGGTGCTTCAGGTTAAGAACAGTTTCAGGTTAAGAACGGACCTCCAGAATGAATTAAGTACTTAACCCGAGGTACCACTGTAATAAATAAAATTATAAGGAAACAAAAAGAGAAACCCAGTACCTTTTTGAAATCAGTGGTTAAAATCAGCACAGCTTTTAAAGGTTCAGTCCACCTTCTTGATTCAAAATGGTTTCCAAGTATATCCAAGCACAGACCAAAACCTATGATCTTGATCACAGGAACCACTGTGTAAGAATTGGTCACAATATCTTTTAAGAGATGTATGACAGCTTTCCAAATTATATAGATTTGGGTGGAGGGGGAGAGAGGACAGGAGAATGAAAAAACTGTGAGCTGGTTGTTAAATTATTATGCCGATGATTTATTCATTACTGAATTGATACACAGCCCTTCCTCCCCAAGGATCCCAGGCTGGCAGACAGATACAAAACTGTAAAAAGAAAAAGAAAAACATTATAAAACAGATTAAAATGTCCTAAAATCAATTCCAATCAAAAACATACTTCCAGCCTATTCTCTCGAGGTGGCCGGGCGCAGTATTCTTCAGCCACCAAATGCTTGGGTGAACAGGGACATTTTCTCCTAGGGAGTTAATAATGATAGAGACAGGCACACCTGGCTAGAGAGGGCATTCCTCAACTGGGGGGCCACCACCAAAGAGGCCCCGTCACAGAACACTGCCAACCACGCAGCCTTCGGTGGCAGCGCCTCCGGCAGCAAGGCCTCACCCGCCAATGGTGACAAAAGGAGAATGGAGGCACAGGTTGGTTGGTTGTTTTTTTAATGAAAATCACATTTCTCCTCTGCAGGCATTAAACAGTTACACACAGGGAGATATAGAAGGGTCAAAAAGACTGGGCCACACTGCACTCCTGGTTGCTATCGCAGCGATCCTCATTGGCCTCGTGTTGATCGGTATCCTTTGTGCGGTTCATTTCACTACGGTAAGTCAGATTTTGCCATTCTCCAGCCAACACGCTAGAACTTGATGCCATCTTTAACAACGCTGTTAATTTGCAGAGAAGGGAGAGAGGGAGAGGGAGGACAGTTATTTCTAGTACTGTAGTGGATACTCGCAGCTATGGCAGCTTCTAAGATTATGCTATCTTCTTTAATCTGTGTTTCTTGTGCTCCTGCATGCTTAGAGGGGCAGGGCCAGCACTCAGGAGTTGGCTTCGCTGGGTACCTACCAGTGCCCACATCCCAGTGGGGGGACCACTGCCAACTCCTGGAGCTCCAGGAAGCATGGATAGGAGATGAGAGAAGAGGAGATGGCCTTTGCCCACCTTTCCCCCCTCTCTTTGGGCAGAGTAGGCCCAGAGGAAGAGGGTCAATCAATGGGGAGCGGTGACTTGCAGCATAGCAGCAGGCTCAAAGCCACCAGCCCCTTCTGAGGTTATGCAGCCTTCTAAAAACAGTCTTATTAATTTTCAGTAATTAGGGGTGCATTGCAACCATCAATGCAGATCTCCATGGGTTGCCTTTCAGCTAGTTCTACAATGTTCCATGCACGTACATGGGCAAATGCTTTGGAGCGCTCCGATATCTTCTTTTGGAGCAAGTTACATTGTGTTTTCCGTAAAGGTCCGTTGGATGAAACAGAACATGCACCCCATTCCCTTGAATCTGGAACATCTGCTGTTTTCAGTCTTCCCAAATGTTTGGGCTTTGGAGCAGCTCTGGATTTTATTTTATTTTTAATAATTTTTATTAATTTTTACAATTTGGCTTAATATTCACCAGAGTCAACATTTTCCGCACAACGCTTCCTCGGGCATGACTCAGTGATACCCCGATTACCCAGATTCATAAAAACAAAAACAAATAAACACACATCAACAAAGTAACACTATATGTGGAGAGTCTTCGAATCTCGCGACTTCCCCCCATCCTGTCCATGGAGTCTTGTTTTAAAACATCTACAACTGCATATTAGTTTGTACTCCAGTTATTATATCAAACCATATTATCCATAATATTTTTTTTACACTACCAGTATGTCAAAATCCTGCTCTTGTTTCCATCTGCTTACAGTGGTCTCCTAAATAACTTGTAAATTTCACCCATTCATTTATAAAGTTTTCATCCTCTTGGTTTCCGAGTTTTCCAGTCAGCTTTGCCATTTCGGCATAGTCCACCAGCTGGGTTTGCCATTCTTCTCTGGGAGGGAACAGCTCTGGATTTAGGGCAGTGTGGGCTGTCCCCCCCGCAGCACACAGGATGCCCAGCCAAGGGGGGGCAAAACAACAACCACGTATATTTATAAGGCTACCTAGTGAGAAGATCCATAACAATCAACTGTACCAAAAGGAATTATTGCGAAAATGAAAAATATTTCTGAGGTGGGGGAAGCATCAAATTTTGTCCTTGCTCAAGGGTGTCATATTACCAAAGTCCACCCCTGTTTGGAGCAGAATAACTCCTCCTTGGTTATTCTTCCCATGCACCTTCTCCAGAGTGACCCTAGGAGCCCATCCTCAGTGGCTAACTCGCCTCCTTTCACTCCAGTTGCCTCCAAGAGCCAGTGTGGTGTAGTGGTTAAGAGCAGTGGACTCGTAATCTGGTGAACCGGGTTCGCGTCCCCGCTCCTCCACATGCAGCTGCTGGGTGACCTTGGGCCAGTCACACTTCTCTGAAGTCTCTCAGCCCCACTCATCTCACAGAGTGTTTGTTGTGGGGGAGGAAGGGAAAGGAGATTGTTAGCTGCTTTAAGACTCCTCAGGGTAGTGATAAAGCAGGATATCAAATCCAAACTCCTCCTCCTCCTCCTCCTCCTCCTCCTCCTCCTCCTCCTCTTCTTCTTCTTCTTCTTCCTCCTCCTCCAATCAGCGCATAGCAGGAGAAGGCTGCTTATCGGTAGCTAAAAAAGCTCCTCTTTCATGCTGATTGGGTGAATCTAGGAGTCTGTGGACAGGGACCCTGCTGCAGAAATATGAATGGGTCTTTGACCCCAACATGACCCCAGACCAAAACACCACTGGGCAACTCACAGGCTCTGGTTTAATTCCCGAGAAGCCAAAGCTTTCATTTTAAGAAATAAAGTCTCTAGACCTCATGCGCTGAAACTAGTGGAGCTGTTTTTTAAACACCAAAAAACAAAAGAAAACAAAACACCCGCACAAAAACAGATCAAAGGAGCAGGCAAACAGCCCAAATACATTAAAAATATTCTTTTGTGATTTCAGGTTCTGAATGAATAATAATGAGATTAGTGGTAGTAATGACATTTGAGTGTGCAATCCTGTACACACTTCCCTTGCCTCCCCATAAATCTTAGTCCTTCCTCCGGATATCCTAAGGAGGAGGAGGCCAAAGCTGCAACCCTATCCCCACGTACCTGGGAGTAAGCCCCATTGTACCCAGTGGGACTTCCTTCTGAGTAGACACGGATTGGATTGCACTGTAAAGACCCCAGAACTTCAGGTCAGGCTGCATCGCCAGCTGGCAGCCTTACCTTGTCACGATGTAGGATCTGAAAGGGAAAGTTGCATAAGGGAAAGGTGGAAGGAAGTGGATAAATTTAGCCCAAAGAAGATTAAGGGGGGAATTCCGTCAAGTATCTAGAAGGAAGATGGGAAATGCTTGCGCTTTCAGCCTACGTGGCAAGGAGCAGAGGAATCTTCCCAGAGGCATCTGGTTGGCATCTGCAAGGAAACGATGTCAGGCAAGGTGGACCTTTGGCCTGATCCGGAACCCAGGCCCTCCCTCCTCTGTCAGAGCCAGTATGCTTCTGAATTAACAATTAACAAGGGGAAAGAAGATAGAGGAAACTTTTCCTCCCTCTCTCCTAACAGTAGAACTGACCGACATCCAAGGAAACAGAAGATGGATTAAAACAGGGGTCAGCAACCTTTTTCAGCCGTGGGCCGGTCCACCGTCCCTCAGACCATGTGGTGAGCTGGACTATATGGGGGGGGGGATGAACGAATTCCTATGCCCCACAAATAACCCAGAGATGCATTGTAAATAAAGGGACACATTCTACTCATATAAAAACACACCGATTCCCGGACCATCCGTGGGCTGGATTGAGAAGGCAATTGGGCCGGATCCAGCCCCCAGGCCATAATAATAATATTTTATTATTTGTACCCCGCCCATCTGGCTGGGCTTCCTCAGCCACTCTGGGCTGCTTCCAACAAAATATTAAAATACAGTAATGCACCACACATTAAAAGCTTCCCTAAACAGGGCTGCCTTCAGATGTCGTCTAAAAGTCTGGTAGTTGTTGTTCTCTTTGACATCTGACGGGAGGGCGTTCCACAGGGCGGGTGCCACTACCGAGAAGGCCCTCTGCCTGGTTCCCTGTAACTTGGCTTCTCACAGTGAGGGAACTACCAGAAGGTGCTCAGAGCTGGACCTCAGCGTCCAGGTTGAACGATGGGGGTGGAGACGCTCCTTCAGATATACTGGACTGAGGTTTCCTACCCCTGGATTTTTTTAAAAAAGGACTTCTTCACACAGCACATCGTTAACCTGTGGAACCCGCTCCTGCAGGAGGCAGTGATAGCCACCAACTTGGATGGCTTTAAAAGAGGATTAGACAAATTCATGGAGGAGAAAGCTCTCAGGGGCTACAAGCCATTATGGCGAAGCTTTGCCTCCATGGTTGGAAGCAGTAAGTGCTTCGCAATAGCAGTTGCTGGAGACCACAGGAGGGGAGAGGGCTCTTGTGAGTTTCCCAGAAAAGGCATCTAGTTTCCACTGTGAGAACAGGATGCAGAGAGCTAGATGGGCCTCCTTTGGCCTAGATCCAGCTATAGGGCTCTCCTGGCGTTCTTACGAGTGTGAAACAATAAGGTTGATGGTCTGAACCGTAAGAATGGGGCAGGGAATGAAGGGAAGGCTGGTTTCACACATGCAGGTTCACGGCAGTATCATCAGGTGGGCGGAAGCAGCCATGGTGGCCCAGCAGCCATAGGCAAAGGTGTCCCATCACCTCCTCTTCCCACGGAGGTGGCTCACCCACTCAGCTGAAAGGCTGGGGAGGGATGTAGCTCAGTAGTAGAGCATCTGCCTTGCATGCAGATGGTCACTGGTTCAATCCCTGACATCGCCAGGTAGGGTTGGGAATTTCCCCAGTCTGGAACCCTGGAGAGCTGCTGCCAGTCAGTGCAGACAATACTGAGCTAGATGGACCAAATAATCTGATTCGGTATAAGGTAGATTCCTGCAGCTGAATAATCCTATGCCCGAAACATCATGTACAGCAGGTATCATCAATCTTTTCAGACCCACGGCCCACTTTTAACCCAAACAGGCTTTGAGGCCTCATTTCTTAATCGTTCTCCATTTATTTGCATGGCTGTGATGTTTCTGTTGAGACCCACTAATGGGTCCCAGCTGACCAGCTGAAGATCAGTGATGCACAGACATGTGTGACTCTACTCATGGGTGCTGGTTGTGCAAGCTGGGTGCAGAATTCGGGATGGGGTGGGGACCTCGATTTTCATTAAAGAGGGGATTTAAGTTCCTAGTCCCTAAGACTATGACGAACATGTTGAAAGTGTAAAACGGGCATAGGCAAACTCGGCCCTCCAGATGTTTTGGGACCACAACTCCCATCATCCCTAGTGGTCAGGGATGATGGGAATTGTAGTCTCAAAACATCTTGTGGGCCAAATTTGCCTGTGTCTGATGTAAAATCTCACGTGGGCAGAACCTGGGTGAAAGGAAAACCCAGGAATCAGGAGGTTGTGCTTGGATGCCTGCAGAGCTCCTTACCTATTGCTGTGACTAGTCAAATAAGGTATGCAAGTGAGCAGATCAAATTATCTAAAGTAATACAGTATTTTGAAATGCAGTAAGCCCATAACTTGTGTGCAATCAGCTTTATGCAAAATAAAATAAAATAAAAATAAAATAGAAAGGGGGCAGGCATCCAGGAAAAAAGACTATAGCAATCCCACTTGCCATTGGACTTACAGTGTTTTTACTATATGCAATTTTGGCTTTAGGGGTGATACCTGGAATGTACCCCCTGTGTAAATTGTGGGCTTGCTGTATGCATCCCTTTTGGTAGGTAGGGAATTGGGGGGAGTGGATGCAAAAGGGGGCCGTGGCTCCTTCACCTTTAACAAAGTCAGGGGCAGGAGCCTGCCACCCTATCCAATTAAGGATTGCTCACATTGCTACTTATCTCCAGAATCTTCACAGCACTCCTGTAAGGTAGGCCAAAGACTAGCATAGCCAAAGACTGTAGCCAGAGGTCCTGCACCTTTAAGAGCTGAACAGAAGAGGGGATTTCTATACTATTAAAGGTGTGGGAGCATTTTGCCTCTGTAGCATTTGGCTACCTTATTACAACCAGGATTGTGAAACCTGCAGCCCCTCAGATGTTATTGAATTCTAAATCGCATCATCTCCAACTCTTGGCCCCCTGGAAACTGCAACGTAAAAGACAGCTTTCCTTGACACAGCCTTTTGGTTATTTCCCTCCCACTCCCTGTATAAAAAGCTCTGTGTCGATGCCCTAGATGCTGTTGGACTCCAACTCCCATCATCCCTGACCATCGACTAATTTTGCCAGGGATGATGGGAGTTGGAGTTCAACATGTGGAGCTCCAAGGTTGAAGAGTGCTATCCTGCGCTCTCATAGAACAGCCTTTGCTAACCTGGTGCCCTCCAGATTCTTTGGAATACAACTTCTTTGAGAGCCAGTGTGGTGTTGTGGTTAGAGTGTTGGTCCTGGACCTGGGAAACCAGGGTTTCAAATCCTCGCTCGGCCATGTGAAACTCACTGGGTGACCCTGGGCCCATCGCTGCCTCTCAGCCTAATTTGCTTCACAGGTTTGCAGTGGGTATTAAATGGGGAGGGAGAGAACCATGTACAGTGGTACCTCGGATTAAGAACATACAGTGGTGCCTCGCAAGACGAAAAGAATCCGTTCCGCGATTCTCTTCGTCTAGCGGTTTTTTCGTCTTGCGAAGCAACCCTATTAGCGGCTTAGCGGATTAGCGCTATTAGCGGCTTAGCGGCTATTAAAGGCTTAGCGGATTATGGTAGCTGCTAAAAGGCTATTAGCGGCTTAGAAAAAGGGGGGGGGAGCAGGAAAAAAATCGCAAGACTAGCAAGACGTTTCGTCTTGCGAAGCAAGCCCATAGGGAAAATCGTCTTGCGAAGCAACTCAAAAACGGAAAACCCTTTCGTCTAGCGGGTTTTCCATCTTGCGAGGCATTCATCTTGCGGGGCACCACTGTAATTCATTCTGGAGGTCCGTTCTTAACCTGAAACTGTTCTTAAGCTGAGGTACCACTTTAGCTAATGGGGCCTCCCGCTGCCACCGTGCAATTTCTGTTCTCATCCTGAAGCAACGTTTTTAACCTGAGGTACTATTTCTGGGTTAGTGGAGTCTGTAACCTGAAGTGTCTGTAACCCGAGGTACCACTGTACACCGCTTTGAGCTCCTTGTAGAATAAATAATATAAATATAAATATAAATGCAAGAAAGAAATAACCCTGAAATATCTGTAGGGCACTCTGTTGTCAAAGAGAGATTGCAGAGAGAGGCTACTCATGGATGGACACAGGAAGTTAGTTCCTTTGCTGTACAGCCACGTCCTGGGTGTCTGGCAACCTTCGCTGGCATATTTACATCGCTGGCTCTTCATCCTGGCAGATGGAATTGCCACCTGTCCCCAAAGACACAGGAGCAGCAGAAGGGCTGTGGTGGGATGTTTCTGCAAGGCACACAAGTTGAGATGGGCATGAACTTTTCACCTCGTTCTGCGGGACACCGTGCTTGAGGAGGACGGGTTGTGTGTGTTTCTCTCCCCACAACCGAAACCAGAGCTCTCAAGAAACATCCTAAATAATTAGGCCTGCCTGCTTGAAACTGTTTATTACTTAGTCCTTTTTTTAAAAAAATCTGCCCTGGATCTTCCAATAATCAGCTTCATTGCATGTCCAAAAGTTCTGCTGTCACGAGAGAGGGAGAAAAACAACCTATCCATTTCTTCATGCCCTGCATAATTTTGTGAACCTTTATCAAATCCTTGCTCACTTTTGCTCTAAACTGGAAAAAGTCCATAATACTTGCATTAGATGTGGTAGAAATTGTGGGAGGCACATACTTACACAATCCATTATGCACAACAGTCCTTTGGGGTCTTTTCCCTGTGCAGCAACTGCTATGAGGGAGACTCCTGGTGGGAACCTCAGGGGTCAGGGGTCAGCAAACTTTTTCAGCAGGGAACCAGTCCACCGTCCCTCAGACCTTGTGGGGGGCTGGACTATATTTGGTGGGGGGGAATGAACGAATTCCTATGCCCCACAAATAACCCAGAAATGCATTTTAAAGAAAAGCACACATTCTACTCATTTTTGGAACTACAATTCCCATCATCCCTAGCTAACAGGACCAGTGGTCAGGGACGATGGGAACTGTAGTCTCAAAACAGCTGGAGGGCCGGAGTTTGCCTATGCCTGTAGAATCTACCACTGAGCTGTGACTCTTCTCTCTCCTTAACTATGACCTTCCTTTCCCCTTTAAGTCAGGTGTGGGGAAACTTTGGCCCCCCTGATGTTGCTGAACTGCACCACCCCTGGCCATTGGCTCTGCTTGCTAGGGCTGATGGGAGTTGTAGTCCCCCATTCCTGCCTCTGTGTTACAGCTGTGCTTTGCCGCTATGAGCACCAGCGACTCTGGTAATTGCCCAGGGTGTGGCTGATTGCTTCTTCTATGTTAAAACAAGGAAGGCTTTATGAAAACACCCAAAAACAAAACAAAACAAAAGCCATTAGTGAATATCAAACCATTTCCTGACAGTCAGGAATCCATTGATTTTTCGAGATCGCCCTGATACATAATTCAGCATGAACTGGCAGCGAGATGACAGCTACCAGTGGAGACTTAATGCTTCTGATTCAAAAGAGTATTGAGCCACTAATGCAGTGAGTTGTTTGTTTAATGGGAACAAGGGCTATTAAATAATGTGTCCATTAGGCCTTGAGGATGAATAATTTAAGGCAATCAAACTTTCTAACTTTCTCTTCTTCTTCTTCTTCTCCTCTCTCTCTCCCCTTCCCGAATTCTCCTCTTCTCTTTGTGGGAGGGGAAAACCGCCATTATTTTTAACACCAACGCAGCACGTCATCTGATATCCAAGACTTAGGATGGGAAGCGTTGCCCGTCTTCAAACCTCTGGGAAAGGCACAGGGAATCTCCGGCAAAGTGAAGGAAAACAAGGATCCTTCAGTCCAGACGGTTTGATTCCAGTCGCTGGTGAACAGATTGCGTCCGCTATCGCTGTCCACGGTGCTGCGTAAACCAAGACGAGCATAAAAAAGTATTTCTTAAGGAATGCTGTTAATAGAGAAATGCTTCCAATTCGCTTTTCAAACCCCCAAACTTCAGGCCTCCGTTTTCATGTATGTTGGAGGTGGTACCTCTATTCCTGCAACACACACAAACTCCACTCCCTCCATCCTACATCTTGGCATTCGGGCTCACCCTTGTGTGCAACATCGCCCGGGTCAGAGGCGTTCGCTGGCTGAACTTTTTGGATCACTGATGGATGCAAGGTCCGAGCAGGCCGGACAAGGTGATTTTTGGGTTGACTTCTGCTTCAGGTCCATTGACCCCATTGGAGCCTCTCAGGACAAAAAATGAGAATGCTTTCCCAGCCCATCATACATCTTTGATCTACTGCGGCTCAACCCTCTCTACAGCTTCAGAGTTATCATCTGAGTTTCTCAGTCTAGCATGGATATTTAGAAAGTTGCCTCGTTGGTCCATCTTGCTTAGTATTGTCTTATGCAGCCCTCCGGGGTGTCAGACAGAGTTCTCTTGCTTAGTATTGTCTTATGCAGCCCTCCAGGGTGTCAGATAGAGTTCTCTCCCAGTCCTACCTGGAGATGCTTGGGACTTGAATCTGAGACTTTCTGCATGCAAAGTAGATGCTCCACCAATCCACTCTCTTTCTTCCTGATCTGCCTTCTCTCCAGTCCAGCTTTCTCCCTGCTCTTTCTCCAAAACAGGCTCCTTCTTTTGCGGGAATGTTTTGCTATCTATTTTTACAGACTCCCATTTCTTTGATCAGGCCTCTGCTACATGTTTGTGCTTGTCCGGCTGCATATGATGTCATGTGCGACTCAAGAGGACAACTCGTCCTGAGAGTCGGGGAAGGATGGTGCTGGCGAAGGGAGATCAGCCTGGTCTGCTCACGTGCCTTTAAGAACAACTCGATCCGCAGAGATGAGCAGGCGGAGCTTTCCTCTGCATGGAAATTACATTTAAACCACCTAACTTCCCCCAAAGAATCCTGGGAACTGTAGTTCTGGGTATTGTAATTCTGGGCGTTGCAGCTCGGGGGTAAACTACAGTTCCCAGGAATCTTTGGGGGAAAGCCATGTGATTTGAATGTTAAACTTGTAGGCAGAGCACATGATTGAAAATCAAGCTTCAGTTAAAGGCACCAGCCAACTTTGGGGTGGCTGTAAATTGCCAAGTGAAATGTAATCAGGCTTGACTTGCATTTTGATACCCCGTAGGACAGGCATCCCCAAACTTGGCCCTCCAGATGTTTTGGGACTACAACTCCCATCATCCCCAGCTAACAGGACCAGTGGTCAGGGATGATGGGAATTGTAGTCCCAAAACATCTGGAGGGCTGAGTTTGGGGATGCCTGCTGAAGGAAATACTCTTTTCTCATGCCAGATCCTGAATGGAATGGGTTGTAGCCAATGGTCAACCTACTCAGAGTGGATCCACTTAAATTAATTGACATGATTAACTGAGTTCTATTAATTTCAATTGGCTAACTCTAACTTAGGACGCGGGTGGCGCTGTGGGTAAAAGCCTCAGCGCCTAGGGCTTGCCGATCGAAAGGTCGGCGGTTCGAATCCCCGCGGCGGGGTGCGCTCCCGTCGTTCGCTCCCAGCGCCTGCCAACCTAGCAGTTCGAAAGCACCCCCGGGTGCAAGTAGATAAATAGGGACCGCTTACAAGCGGGAAGGTAAACGGCGTTTCCGTGTGCGGCTCTGGCTCGCCAGAGCAGCGATGTCACGCTGGCCACGTGACCCGGAAGTGTCTCCGGACAGCGCTGGCCCACGGCCTATAGAGTGAGATGGGCGCACAACCCTAGAGTCTGGCAAGACTAGCCCGTACGGGCAGGGGTACCTTTACCTTTACCTAACTCTAACTTAGTTCGATACAGCAGAATGGAAAATTTCTATAGGGTAGGGAGAATAAATTTTATTTTATTTATTATTTATTAAATTTGTATACCGCCCTATAGATCTCAGGGCGGTTCACAACATAAAATGCATCCCCCCACCTTTACAAGTAAGGAAATATAAAAAAAATTATCCCTTCCCTTCCATCACCATAATCTAATTTAAGGGATGTTACAAGGAACTTTCCCCAAGGGATAAAGGGTAATTGTGATCACCCTGTGTCTGACTGTGGGTTTTATTTATTTTTTAATTAACACTTAAATGTCATGTCTGAAAAGGGGGGGGGATCAATAAACTTGTATTGGTTTGTATAATTATTTGTTCAAATAACTTTAATGCTTTATTGAGGACTTCTGTAAAGGATCTGCTCCCCAGCGCATGGGATACAACAGAGCAAGAAAAGGGTCAGGAAAGGGTCACTGAAATGATTGTGGGAATGGCTGAAGCATTTTCCTTACAAGGATAGGCAAAAATAAAATGAAAAGCACATGGAAGAAAGACAATGAAGGATGATAGTGGTTTATAAATTTATATGTGGTGTAGAGAACGGAGGAAGAAAAGATGTATCCCCCCCCCCTTTGGGTGACTGTTATAAGAAAAAAACCCTGCTCCTTTCCCCTTATAGGGTACCCAAGAGCCCATATGGGGACATGGGTGGCGCTGTGGGTTAAACCACAGAGCCTAGGACTTGCCAATCAGAAGGTCGGCGGTTCAAATCCCTGCGACAGGGTGAGCTCCCGTTGCTCGGTCCCTGCTCCTGCCAACCTAGCAGTTCGAAAGCATGTCAAAGTGCAAGTAGATAAATAGGTACCGCTCCGGCGGGAAGGTAAACGGCATTTCCGTGTGCTGCTTTGGTTCGCCGGAAGCGGCTTAGTCACGCTGGCCACATGACCCGGAAGCTGTACACCAGCTCCCTTGGCCAGTAAAGCGAGATGAGCGCTGCAACCCCAGAGTCGTCCGCGACTGGACCTAATGGTCAGGGGTCCCTTTACCTTTACCTTTACCTTTAAGAGCCCGTATAGAGTCCTTATGTAGGTTCTCTCTCGGTAGGAGAAAATAACAGAGACCAACCAGAGAATATTGAGAAGCAAAGCAGCTATTAAGCCTAATCTTTATTGAACTGTTGCAACAGGGTCCCCACTCACCACACGCAGGAGGGAGGAGAACTCTGTACAATGGTGTGCAAGCCCTTATATAGACTTTTGAAATTGCCACCCTCTAGCTCAAGACCACCCCCCAATACATCTTACATACATCACAGAAGGGGCGGTCTACAGCAGAATCCTGTCTGGCAGGAAACCTGGTGATCAGTTTACCTGGACAGCCTGGCCATTCGTTTGTGATGATAAATAAAAGGTAAAGGTACCCCTGCCCGTACGGGCCAGTCTTGACAGACTCTAGGGTTGTGCGCCCATCTCACTCAAGAGGCCAGGGCCAGCACTGTCCGGAGACACTTCCGGGTCACGTGGCCAGCGTGACATTGCTGCTCTGGCGAGCCAGCACCAGCGCAGCACACGGAAACGCCGTTTACATTCCCGCTAGTAAGCGGTCCCTATTTATCTACTTGCACCCGGGGGTGCTTTCGAACTGCTAGGTTGGCAGGCGCTGGGACCGAACAACGGGAGCGCACCCCTCCATGGGGATTCGAACCGCCGACCATGCGATCGGCAAGTCCTAGGCGCTGAGGTTTTACCCACAGCGCCACCCGCGTCCCGTGATGATAAATACTTACTGGTAATTCCTGAGTCCAGGTCACAGGCTCACTCTATTCATACCCAATGTGCCCTTAAGGCAGGATTTGTGAGCCCAGAGAGGAGGCTTTCCCCACTTCCATCCAAACTGCAGAGGAATATTTGAGGTCACTGAAAGAGTCAAAATAGCTTTAGGACTGTTTTCCTGTACTGTTTCAGACATGTGGTTTAAATATTTATGTATGTGTTTGCCTGGCACATTTAAGAACACTTATTTTATATCTTAGACCTTAAAATTCTCATAACAGTGACACAACCAGGTCTTTTTTTAAGGAGGAACTGACAGGAACTCAGTTCTGGCACCTCTCAGGTGGGTGCCATTGCCATTCTAACAGAATGAGGGAGGTTTTCATGGCAAGTTTGGGCATTTCCCCCCCAGAAAAATAGCATTGGACACAACTATAGTACTTTAGTCTACACATCTCTACACTTTACATTAGTTTTCCCAGAGTTACCTCATTTTTGCTGTCTGTTAACTGGAGAATAAGTGTCGTAGCAGTAGTCTCTCTAAAGATCATAGCCTAAGAACCTGATCATGACAATTCCAGCACATGTGTATAAAATTCCCTCCAGCAATTGTAATTTCTACTCTTCATTAATCTAGCCATAAAGGAATCAGATGTGATCCTGGGGTTTTTTTTGTACTATGGTGTTAAGATTCCATAGCTCTGGCAGCATTCAGACAGGTGTTTATGGCAGAATCATTGCTGCTCATGCAGGCAAGACCTATTATGCAAGATCCACAGGATATCATTGGCATCAAAATGCCAGGCTGCTCCCCCCCACCCTCATTTAATCAGGATTTACCCTTTCCGTGGGAAATCCAGTGAGTTAAAAAAAACAACACACCCATTGCAAGCAACCTGTTTGTGATATCTGAATAACTCATTTGCAGTATTAAACCCCCCAGGGGGGCGGGAATGTTTTTTAGTGCCAAGTAAAAGATGGATGGCAATGTTTGCTCACCGCCCGGGGTGAGTAAAGGTGATCTCAGACCAAGCAGTCTGCATCAGGAAGGGTGGACTAAAGAGCCTTTGACGTATGTGTTGGCTTGGGAGAAACCAGCTGAGGTCAGAGTCATCAGGTCCACATTGGGTCTCATCCAGGTTAGCAGTACACAGGACCAGATTTGGGCAGGCCACCAGCTATCCACCCGTCATTTGGTTTGTGAAGTCCAAAGGATGTGTATTCCCATTTGCCTATGAGTGGAGCAGAACCTTTTTTATCCATTTATCTGCTTCAGGTTTTCACTGCCTCGTGATAGCTCTTTCTCTGTCTCTCTCTCTCTGTCTCTCTCTCTGTCTCTGTCTCTCTCTCTCTCTCTCTCTCTCTCTCACACACACACACACACACACACAAAACATAAAATAGTCTCCTTTTATTTACCACCTCAAGTTCTGCTGTGCCATTCCCTGTGCCTCAAAACCAAGCCTGCCCGCCCCGCCACACACGCGTTACAGGCAGAGACAGATGGGAAGGTAAATTGCTGTCCTCAGCTCCTGGATCAGATTAGCCTCCTCCAGGTCTTTGGGACAGCTGGGCTCTGTAAAACAGCGATGTGTGTGTAATTCTGATATGTAACTTTAGAGCAGGGCAGCTAAATATAAGAGATGAGGGCCCAGTGAAGATTTAAGCAACAGGCTTCTGCAGGGCTCCTTTCTCCACCAAATAGTAGTGAATTATCATCAGTAAGACAAATGCGCAGGCAAATCCACTCTTCGGTAATGTTCATTCATTCATTCATAAAAGGTAAATGGACCCCTGACCATTAGGTCCAGTCGTGACCGACTCTGGGGTTGCGGTGCTCATCTCGCTTTATTGGCCGAGGGAGCCGGCGTACAGCTTCCGGGTCATGTGGCCAGCATGACTAAGCTGCTTCTGGTGAACCAGAGCAGCGCACAGAAACGCCGTTTACCTTCCCGCCGGAGCGGTACCTATTTATCTACTTGCACTTTGACGTGCTTTTGAACTGCTAGGTTGGCAGGAGCTGGGACCGAACAACGGGAGCTCACCCCGTCGCGGGGATTCGAACCGCCGACCTTCTGATCGGCAAGTCCTAGGCTCTGTGGTTTAACCCACAGCGCCACCAGCATCCCTCATTCATTCATAGAATTGTAGAGAAGGAACCCCAAGGGTACTCTCGTCAAACAACTCTGCAATGCAGGAATCTTACCTAAAGCAACCATGACTGAGGGCCACCCAACCTCTGCTTAAAAACCTTCATTCATTTTGTTTACAAACCATCTTTCCTCCAAGGAGCTCAAGGGGGTGTACCTTGTGGGATTTCCCCCTCTCTACTCTAGTCTCACAACAGGCCTGTGAAGTTAGCTGGTCTAAGAGACAGTGAATGGCCTGAGGTTGCCCACGAAAGTTCACATGGCTGAGTGGGGATTCGAACCCTGACCTATGCCAGGTCCTAGTCCAACACTCTAGCAACTACACCACTCTGGCTCTCTATAAACACAAACAGACTTCCTTTGAATGTTGAATTGCCCTGGTAAATCTCAGCATTCCCCTTTAGAAACTGGTCCCTAAACTAAACCAACCGGGACAGAAATGTGAATGCACTCACGCTTTGTGCCCCTGGAAAAGGAAAATGGAAGCCCCTTTTGCAGAGGAAGGAAATCTTTGGTAAGCTGGAGGAAAGATTTAGCCACAGCCCTACCACTGACCTATTCCTTGGCTATCTGTTGAATGTGAGCAACTTCGGAAGTCCTCAGTTATATCTCAAGCGGCAGAGAGCCAATTGCACTTGCAGAACTTCGGCCCTCCGCTAAGAAAGGCCACCCTGCTCCTTCCGTGCTCCACAAGGGTCCTCCTATGCTGCTCAGCTGCACCGCCAAGGCATTTAGGGGGTGAAATATCATCCCGACGCTTGGGAAGTTGTTAAACTGAGTAGACCGGAGAGGAGGAACAGCTTGTATTTAAACAGCCATCAGAAACTTCCAGGGCTTATCCGAGGTGTCAGCTTGCAGCCCTGGTACAACATGCGTATACTCTGCTTTTGTATTGGGCCATCTAATCTTGGAAGTGCTGTCACAGTTCTCAAGCAACAGCCCAGGGCTACCTCAGGAGAAGCTGTCTATTAGGGCTAGTGGGACACTGCCCCACCATCCTCAGTCTGCCCTCAGCCACTCCACACCTGCCTTCTTAAGTCGTCATAATAGGAGAAAGATGAAGGCAAAAATTAGAATTAGTCAGCGCTGCCTGTCATTGGCTCTGGCGCCACCTACTGCTGGCCTCCCCATCTTCCATCCTACCAGTCTCAGCGACTAGGTTAGGTATCTGTTTGGATTGATCCAGTAGACAGTTGCTTTCCCCAACAAAACAGGCTCGCCTGCAACCTGATAACTAAAAAAACCAGAGGTCAGTGCCTCTTCTATAAGACTACAAGGGAAGTCCAGCAGTTGTCCTGTCAGGAACTCCCAGAGCCCTCCTATGTAGCCTTAAGAACTGTTGTGTCTGCAAAGGTGTAGTGCCAACTGAAACCTTATATACCTTGACCAGGACCAGTAGTTCAGTGAGCTCCGCCTCCTCCAGAGGAGCCAGCTGTCTGTTAAAGGGCCCTCGCCTTATTCAGCAGTCTTTGGTTCCTGCAGGGTTGGGAATCACAGGATGGTAAGTCTGTGTCTTCCAGTTGGGGAGATTCAGAAGGCAGCCCTGTCAGCTCTTCCCCCAGGGACAACGGCTCCAGAGACTTGCCATCTTCTGAGCTTATTGCATGGTATCTGGGTTCTAGAACTGTGAAGTTGGATGGGACCCCAAGGAAAATATAGTCCAACCCCCTGCGATGTCATGGGCCATGACAGTCAGTTGGAGGGTAGGAGGGCTAAGGGAATGGGGAAGAGATCCAAGGGCGGACCAGGTCAGAAGAATGGATATTATGAGGGGCTGAGTACATGCCTATATCCTGTTCCAGGAAACGCCCCCCCCCCAATCATTCAGTTTGTACAAACATGACACACACACACTCACACACGACATAGGCGACGTTTCTGTTATAAATTCATAGTAAATCAACCGTACATCGGATTTACACCAGTCCACTTTTATTTTGCTCCATGAAGGAAGGACTATCAAAGGGGTACAGTTTGATACAGGATGCCCATAATCCCTTAACCGTACCAACACATACTCAGGAGCCCTGCCCAGTTGGCATGGCAACCTTGATGGTCCCAGACAGAAGACCATCAAGGACACAACAGACTTGCATATGGGAGTGGATTCAACACGGACTGGAACAAAGGACAATGCTCAGATCTTCCCTCTGGGGGCAGGAAACTGCCAACTCCCCTTTGTCCTCTAGAAATGACTCATGGGGAGGGGGAAAGGAGGAACCAGCCAGGTGACAAGATACTCAGGTTACTTCCACAACCCCTCCCTCAACCCCTCCTTTTTGTGATGTGTCAATGATGTAGTCATGATGTAGTTCTAGGGGTGTAGCTTGGGGGATTAGTAGCTAATAAAAGTTGGGGTCTTCTTTTGTTTGGGACTTCCATCTTGCTTCATCTTGTTGTGGGTGGGAGTCCTGTCGTGACAGTTTTCAATAAAGGCCAAGCCTACAGGCTGCTGTTTTGCTCCAAATTGTCCTGGTTGGTGTCTTTGTCTTTTTGTCCAAGGGAGCCCTCAGATTCCTCCGTTAACACGCCAAACTGGGCTGATGAGAACTGAGGTCCAAACTGGAGGGCACCAGGTTGTGGAAGGCTGTGGTATGGAACATACTTCTGTGGATTCCAGTCCACTAAATCAGATCCACTGAGTGTGTTGGTGCCTATTGCTAAACAGTCTGTTGCACCAAAAATCCAAAGACAAGGATGGGGAACCTGTACCCCCCAATCTCCAAATGTTGGACCCCAGTTCCCATCAGCCCCAGCAAGCATGGCGAATGGGCAGGGGTGATGAAGTCCAGCAACCCTGGAGGGCCACAGATGTTCCTCATCCCCGCAAGAGTCTTGAAGCATCATTCCAAATACATTTGTAACCAGAGGTACCACTGTATTTTATTTAAGACAAGTCATGGTTTAAGGTTCAAGGTGTTACTATTAGCATCCAAATCCATTCACAGCTTGGGCCCAGTTTACTCCCAAGATCATCTTACTCTATATATGCTCTCTCGACTGCTTCAATGGGCGGAACTGGCACTGTTTCAGGTGCCACATAATATAGGTTCGGAATCTGTAAGAAATCAACCTTTCAGTGTGGCAGCACCTACACTTTGGAACTCCCTGCCTGTTGATATCAGGCAGGTGCCTTCACTATACTCAGATATGTAAAATGCTGATGTGTGTGTGTTTTTTAAGCTTATTGCTGGTTATATTTTTCTGAATGTTTTGATTGTTTCCACTGATAATTTTATTTTTCTATTCTTCATGCAAACTGCTTTGAGGTTTGTTACAATCAAGTAGTATGGAATATTTTTTAATGAAATAAATAACTAATTTTGCTACTAGAGCAGGCAGGAGTTGGGTACCTCTGGGCTTCCAGGTTTTGTCAGGCTGTAGCACTTGTCCTCGGGGACGCGGGCGATGCTGTGGGTTAGCAGTTCGAAAGCATGTCAAAGTGCAAGTAGATCAATAGGTACCGCTCTGGCGGGGAAGGTAACCGGTGTTTCCGTGCGCTGCTCTGGTTTGCCAGAAGTGGCTTAGTCATGCTGGCCACATGACCCAGAAGCTGTATGCCGGCTCCCTCGGCCAATAAAGCGAGATGAGCGCCGCAACCCCAGAGTCGGTCATGACTGGACCTAATGGTCAGGGGGCCCTTTATCTTTACCTAGCACTTGTCCTCACCAATCAACATCTGACCAATGATCAGCAGTGGGTGGTGATGGGGGAAGTAATTTAATTACTGTATACCCAAAGGACCACAGGTTCCCCACCTCTACTTAAGGGTGCCACACAAGGTTTTATTTTTATTTTTTCTATTTTACTTCTGAATAAGCACATGTATGGGCTCGCAGCCTCTGAGCGCGTACAGAGGGAGCCTCTGAGCATGTACGGAGTGCTGTTTCTTTCCCTCTAACCATTTAGATTCCTCATACATTTCCAGGAGTCCGTTGGGCGGCGCGGGGGTGGGAATAAACGAGACGATGAGACTTGCGGGCGAGTGAGGCTTCCTAGAACTCTCGCCGCCGGAGCAGAAGGTAAAAAGGCGACGCGGCCCCTTTAAATTCCGGCAAGCTCCCGCCCCGCCTCCTGCCAGCTTCGCGCACCCGCATGCGCAGTAAGAACTAGAGTTCAGCTGCGCCGCCAGGATCACCCCGAGACCGGAAGTTGTTTCTCCGGCGGCCGGGGAGAAACCGGAAGTGGCGAGAACGGCTGTTGCCCGGGGACCCCGAGAAGAGAGTCGCGGAGCCGCTTGCAGGGTGAGTGAAAGGGAAGCGGGCGGGCGCTGCGGCGACTCCCTCCTCGGCCCGCGGCACAAAGAGGCTGGTTGAGCCCCGGAACCTCCCCCCCCTCCGGCAGGGGAGCACAGGGCTCCTGAGCATGTGCAGAGGATAATTCTTTGCCTGCTGTTTAGCATTCAAGTGTTGGTGTTTAATGCGAGGAAGGTCCAGGCTGAGAGGAGGGGACTGGCCCAAGGTCACCAAGCGAGCCTTTTTAAAAGCCCATTTCCCTGCGCAGCGCTAGAGGTGAAAGGAAGGTTCTTCGCGCACATCCGGTGCCACTTGCCTGCCAGACTTTGAATTTATGTTGTTGTTTAGTCGTTTAGTCGTGTCCGACTCTTCGTGACCCCATGGACCGAGCACGCCAGGCACTCCTGTCTTCCACTGCCTCCCGCAGTTTGGTCAAACTCATGCTGGTAGCTTCGAGAACACTATCCAACCATCTCATCCTCTGTCGTCCCCTTCTCCTTGTGCCCTCCATCTTTCCCAACATCAGGGTCTTTTCCAGGGAGTCTTCTCTTCTCATGAGGTGGCCAAAGTATTGGAGCCTCAGCTTCAGGATCTGTCCTTCCAGTGAGCACTCAGGGCTGATTTCCTTCAGAATGGATAGGTTTGATTTTCTTGCAGTCCATGGGACTCTCAAGAGTCTCCTCCAGCACCATAATTCAAAAGCATCAATTCTTCGGCGATCAGCCTTCTTTATGGTCCAGCTCTCACTTCCATACATCACTATTTGAATTTATATGTTAGATATATTAGGAACTGCCTCGAACCAGATCAGGTTATTCGTCCCTTTAGCCCAGTGTTTTATAGTTCCACCAACAGTGGCTCTCTGGAGGCTTTGGCACAGAGGGGTCTTTCCTTTCCTTTCCTGCTGGATGTCCTTTTTATAAGTGGGGATATTTGAATAGTTGCAAATATTAGGGGCGGGAGGTTGGTGGGTGGGTGGGGGTGTCAAAGGGTGAATAACTCACAACTTGAGCAAAACCTTCAACAGTTGTAGCTATGCCAGTCCTTTTGTGGTATAAAAACGTAAGAGCCATACTGGGTCAAGCCGACAGCATCCTGTTCTCAGAGAAGCCAACCAGATGCTAAGGCATGGGTTCGAGCCCCATGCTGGGCAAAAGATTCCTGCGTTGGAGGGGGTTGGATTAGATGACCCTCGTGGTCCCTTCTGGCTCTCTGATTCTATGTCCCTTCTGCTGGATGTCCTCTTGACTGGTGGTACTTAGGGGTTGCATATGTTACTGGGGAGGGAGGGCCTGAAGGACAAATCACAGCTTGAACACAACTCACAGCAGGTGAGAGAGCCTTGCTGGATCAGGTGAAAGGGACTCTGGTTCCAGCATCCTGTTCTCATACTGGCCCAAAGGGAAGCTTTCAAGTAGGGCATGAGTGCAATAGCACTCTGCCCACCTGCGATTCACAGCAGCTGGCATGCAGAGGCATGTACTGCCTCAGATAGTAGAGGCTAGCAGCCATCTAGAGTAGAAGCCTTATCCCCCATGAATTTGTTGAATCCTCTTTTAAAGCTGTCCAAGTTTGTGACTGTCACTACATCCTGTGGCAGCTAATTTCGCAGATGAATTAGATGCTGTGTGAAGAAGGACTTCTTGTTTGTCTGTCCTGAATCTTCCAAATGTTCAGCTTCCTGGGTTTTTTTGAGTCTTGTACATGTTTAAAGCTTAATAGCTTTATTTAGTGGAGCACACTTTGTTGGAACCCAGGTGAAGAGGTTTCCTGATTTGGAAGATACATGTATCAGTCATCTGAAGGCAGCCCTCTTTTGGGAAGTTTTTAATGTTTGATGCTGTACTGTTTTTAATATTCAGTTGGAAGCTGCCCAGAGTGGCTGGGGAAACCCAGCCAGATGGGCGGGGTATAAATAATAAATTATTATTATTATTATTATTATTATTATTATTATTATTATTATTATTATTTAGGGATATTGGGCTAGGAAGAGGGAGACCTGGGTTCATATCCCCCATTAATGTTGTTGTGTGATCTTGGTCCAGTCATACACACTCAGACTCACCTATCTCACAAGAGATGGGAGAACCATTATGCTATCTTGAGCTTCTTAGAGAAAAGGCTGAATATTTTGCTGGCATCCGTCTGTCTCGGGAGACAATGGAGGAGTGTGCCTTTGTGGCTGAAGTCAAACTATTGGAAGGTTACAGTGCCTGTTGTGGCACTAGAGATTGATAAGGGAGAGACATGTTTTGTTGCAGCTGGGGCAGATGACAGTTAAAAAGAATATATTTGTCTTGCTTGGCCTTCTGAGGAGCACAGGTTGCAGATTCCCCTTTCTATTTTATCTCCACAACAACCCTGTGAGGGAGATTAGGTTGAGAATGTGGCCCAAGGTAATCTAATGATCTTCATAGCAGATGTTGCTTCTTTCAGCTGGAGATGCTTCCAGAGACCTTCTATGCTTTCACCTCATTGCATTTTTATTTTTTATTCCATCCTTCCACTAATTAGCCAAGGGCCTTTTTGCTCCCCTCCCCTTTTTGCTCTCCATTCTCTCCTCTCAATAGCCCTGTGAAGTAGTTTAGGCTGGGAGGGATGGGGAGTGAATCAAGGTCACTTTGTGAACTTCCTGGCTGAGTGGGGATTTGAACCCAGGTCTCTCAGGCACTTTAATTGTGACACCACACAGGTTCTAAGCTTCTCTCTCTACAGGACACAAGCCTTATGTGCCTGGTGTTCATCCCCACCCAAATGGCATCATTGGCTTCAAGACAGGAAACAAACAAACAAACAAACAAACCAAAGACAGTAAACCAACCAAACAGCACATGTAGTGGACTTTGTAACTCAGCAGGGCTTTCAAACCAGATCTCTGCAGTCAAAAGCCAGCATTAAACCACACTGGCTCATTTTCACCACCAGCTTGTCATTCTCCTGCCCATTGCTTATTAGATTGTGAGCTGGGCTGTTTGTTTATGCCGACTAAACAGCCTCTGGTTTCTCCAGCACCTGATTTGTTGCAGAGATTTGTGGCTGCCTTTCTCTTTGGGATCTGAAGAGCAATGGGGAACACGAGCAGTGAGCGGGCCGGTGTGGAGCGTCAAGGGAGCCACAAGACACCTCGGAGAGATAGCGGAGGAACAAAGGATGGAGACCGGCCGAAGATCTTGATGGACAGCCCTGAAGACGCCGACATGTTCCACGCCGAGGAAATAAAGGTATGTGACCTCAGGTGTTCGCCCTCATTTGCTGAGAAAGCCAAGCAAAAGGGTTCATGCTGCCATTTTGAAGGATGTGAGACAGGCGCCAGTTTACTCTTGCAGAAACTCCAGCAGCCAGTTGGTTGTTTCTCTTTTTAGAGAGGGGGAATCGGCCATTGGGTTACATCAAGCTTTAGTACCACTCAGAACAGACCCACTGAACGTAATAGACATCCAATAACTTGGATCTGTTAATTTCAGTGGGTCCCCTCCAAGTCAGACCTAGGCAAATGCTGAGTCATTTGAATGTCTGTTTCCACCTCCTTCACCCTCTGCTAGGAGGCGGTCAGATACAGTGGTACCTCGCAAGACGAATGCCTCGCAAGACAAAAAACTCGCTAGACGAAAGGGTTTTTTGTTTTTTGAGCTGCTTCGCAAGACGGAAATGTCTTGCAAGTTTGTTTCCTTTTTCTTAACATCGTTAATACAGTTGCGACTTGACTTCCAGGAGCAACTCATAGCACGCGGTGTGGTAGCTTTTTTGTGGTTTTTAAAGACTTTGGTGGTTTTTGAAGCTTTTCCAAAGCTTTCCCGACACCGTGCTTCGCAAGACGAAAAAAATCGCAAGACGACAAAACTCGCTGAACGAATTAATTTCGTCTTGCGAGGCACCACTGTAATGGTATGTAGGCCCAATGGAGCAAAGGTCTGCTTCAGAAGGTTGTGGGATCCTATGGATAAGATTTTGGGAGTGCCTGGAGAAAGGAAAGGAAGGAGAAATCCAGCTATGCAAGTTGGACCCTAAATGACCCACCCCATAGCCACTTAACCTAAAACAGATTGCGGAACTGAATTTTTGCCAGGACTTGGCCATTACACCACATGTTCCTCCCTCCCTGTCCCACGCAGCTTGGCAAGGAAAAAGAAGAATTCCTGGCCTGGCAGCATGACGTCGAGGTGAACGATAAGGCTCCTACACAAGCTCGGCCAACCGTTTTTCGCTGGACCGGAGGAGGCAAAGAGGTCTTTCTGTCTGGCTCTTTTAACAACTGGAGCAAACTTCCCCTGACACGGAGGTGAGCATCTTTGTGGCTTGGTCTGGGCTACCTTTGTTTGCTGTCTTGGTGAGGAGGCCCAATATGTTTTAAAGGGTATCTACAGTGTCTATCCTTACTGCAGTTTCCCACAAGAGCAGGAGAAGTGGGCTGAGCTTGGCGCCATGCTGTTATCAAATACTGGTGGTGAAGCCAATGCTCATTTTCAAGAGCAGCTCACCTTTATGGGCATGGGGAGCCAGTCTTGCAACAAAACATCGCTGCAAATCCCCAGCCTCTAAGCAAGAGCGGCCTACAATCGCACTCACAGAGAGCTGTTGGGGTTTTGCTTTTGGTGGGCAGGACGGTACTGTGTGTTTCATTCCAGTATATTGGGGTGGGTTGTCTGCAGAATGGGAAGAGGCAAAAATTGTCCTTCTGATTGGACCACTCTTCAAATTCAGACTTTTTAATTATTATTTAGCTGACTCACTTTCTACAGTAAAGGATTAATTGTATCCCCTCCCCCCCCCCCTCTCTCTCTCTCTCTCCCTCTTTCTCTTTTTAATCCCCTCCCTCTCTCATTCATAGCCACAATAACTTTGTAGCAATTCTCGATCTCCCAGAAGGCGAACACCAATACAAGTTTTATGTGGATGGCCAATGGACACATGATCCTGCAGAGGTAATACTGCCTTTTTCAGTCGCCTTACTTGGCCATCATGAAGGGCTGGTTCATGCATCCATGCCTCCGCCTTCTTTAATTTCTCCGTGATTGGTGGCCGGCAGATGATCACGCGAAATGCCGGGTGCGTTAGAAAGCGTGTTGTTTTAGGGATGATAGTTCACATCAAAGGTGGTGGCCCATTTACACATGTAGGCCATCACTTGACGTTGCATCATAAAGTCACGTATATCCTTGCGCAAATCAATTTTGACAACTGACTTCTTTCTGTAATGAACCAGTGGGGCACCTGCCGTTGGTCAGACACTCAGCCGAAGACATCTCCTTTAAAAAAAAAAATCTTCCTACATCCTTCCCATGGAAACTCCTGAGATTCATTCTTCAGGGCCTAGGTCATGGGTGGGGAGCCTGTGCCCCTTCAGGTGTCGCTGACATCATCCATGACCATTGGCCACTCTGACTGGGGCTGATGGGAGCTGGAGTCCAACAGTCTGGAGGTTCCCAAAAGCTATGGGGTGGAGCCTATTTTGGAGATGGAAAGTAGAGCTTTGCTGGTCTATATTCTGTTCCTCCTCCTCCTCCAATCTCTTCCCATGAGGCACCCCAAAGCGATTTACAAGCTGCCCCTTGGTTTTCTTCCTAGCCTGTAGTAACCAGCCAGCTGGGGACTGTCAACAACGTCATCCAGGTGAAGAAAACAGACTTTGAAGTATTTGATGCTTTAATGGTGGACTCCCAAAAGTCCTCAGATGTATCTGGTAGGTATTTTGGTGTCGTGCTTCTCCATGGTTGGGGGTTCTGTGTTGCCTTGCTCCAGGGTTTAGTGTCTAGCTGTGCATTTTGCAGAAGTGACATCATTGAACACTGTTTGTTTCCTGGCACTGGGGACGGTCTGAATGCAGTTAACTCTGGAGGACTTTGTTCTTCCCGGCACATTATTGAGAGTGTCAGTAACCACACGGAAGGTGGTGATCGAGCAGACATTGTGCACTTAAGAGTCTCAAACAGTTCTTCAGCAAGGACTCCTGAGTAAACCTAGCAGTCGTGAGATAAGATCCCTTATGGATCAAAGAACGGAAAGCACCAGGTAGGAATAAACGGACATTTCTCACAGTGGAGAGGTGTAAAAAGTGTCCTCCTCACTGGAATTGGTATTGGGGCCTGTGCTTTTTAAACTTGGCCTGGCGTTAGGTGTGAGCAGTGAGGCAGCAAAGTTTCCCGATGGTACCAAATTGTCCAGGGTGGTAAGAACAGCAGCAGCATCCAGAATTAAAGGCATCATATATTATTCGCCCGAATGTTGTTCTGCTGTCTTGGAACATCCCGTGGATGAGCTAGAAGAAATGATCCAGCTATGCAGATGTTGATTAGTTACATTCTAAACTTTTTAACTGTTTTTAATACCAAGTTTTAAATTGTTGCAGCCCTCCCTGGGACCTGGTGGTGAAGGATGGGCAATAAATTCAACAATGATAATGATTTTTTTTGTTGTTGAAAAAGGCATTGCTGAGAGTGCCAAAAGGATCTCTCTCAAGTGGGCTAAACAGGCAGTAAAGTTTGCTGAATAAATGGCATTCAGTGGTAAAGTGTAGAAATCAAGTAAGGAAACCTTTGGGGATTCAAGACCACGGCTGAAATGGGAAATTGTTTAGAAGTGCTTTCTCCCAAATAGACCAAGGTTAACCCTCTCTCTCCCCTACCCTCCCTGAGCAGAGCTGTCAAGTTCACCCCCCGGACCCTACCACCAGGAACCCTACATCTGTAAGCCTGAAGAGCGCTTCAAGTCCCCCCCTATTCTTCCTCCGCACCTCCTGCAGGTTATCCTAAACAAAGACACTGGGATTTCGGTGAGTAGAGAAACGTGAAGATAGAAGCAAGCCCCCGCTTTCCCCCCAAATCAAATGCACTGTGTAAGCTGGTGTGTCCTTACCAGCTTTGGGCAGTTTTAATGTGGGGATTCTCCATTTGAAAACAGAGGTGGCGCAGTGAGACTGCACCACTGAAACTCCAAATTGTTTGAATTGACCTGGCGAGGAGGGTTATTGGTTTCTTTTGTTCTTATTATGTGTTTTTATCTTGTATTTTTATGCTGTGAACTGCCCTCAGATTTACACATGAAGGGAGATATAATTATTATTATTAACAATAAGCCCTGCCCCACCTAGCATCCTGTTTTCTTAATAAACCAGTCATGCTTGGGTTTGCATTTCAGAAGCTTCCACAGGAATGGAAAGTTTCTCTTTCATGCTACAAAAAAAAAAAAAGTATTTGGTAGGTGTACAAGAGTCCTCTGGTGGCCCCTAGTGGCTTTCCTGATTTTGCATTCAAAGTTCTAAATAGGGCTAGGCGACATATTGTCCGAAAGCTGCTTGAAGTCCATATTGGGATATCGGTTTCATAATTTTTGACCCGGCAATATATTGCAAATCACGATGTGTTTGTTTGTGTGTGTGTTCGCTATGCACAAATCACAATGTGGGGAAAACCATGGAACCAGCCAATGTTTCTCTTAACTCTGCTCCACTGCCTCGTGCTGGGGGCAGGTGAATCACAAGAGCAGGCGCCGGCAAAAATCACGATGCGGGGAAGACTGTGAAACCAGCCATTGCCTCTACAAAGCGCCATCCGTATTTCAGATATTGTGAAATATTGGTATATCACAATTTCTTTGCTGGTGATATATCATGATGCTGAAAACCAGATATTGCCCAGCCCTAGTCCTAAATCGGGATGTGGGTGGCGCTGTGGTCTAAACCACAGAGCCTAGGGCTTGCCGATCAGAAGGTTGGCGGTTTGAATCCCCACAACGGGGTGAGCTCCTGTTGTTCAGTCCCAGCTCCTGCCCACCTAGCAGTTCGAAAGTATGTCAAGTGCAAGTAGATAAATAGGTACCACTCTGGCGGGAAGGTAAACGGCATTTCCGTGCACTGCTCTGGTTCGCCAGAAGCGGCTTAATCATGCTGGCTACATGACGCTGGCTCCCTCGGCCTATAGAGCGAGATGAGCGCCGCAACCCGAGTCGTCCGCGAGTGGACCTAATGGTCAGGGTACCTTTACCTTTTAGTCCTAAATCAGGTAGAGTGCTTGGGGGCCAAATGCAACCCTCTGGGGCTGTGTACCCGGCCCTTAGCCACACTCTTAGCCACACCCTCTCCTTAAGCTGCACCTCTCCCCCCAAACCACACCTTCACTGACCCCTCTCTTCCCTTTCCTCAGAAGCCTATGCCTGGCTGGAATGTTTCTGTGAACTGCAACAGTGCCTCTTACTTGGTTGGGTGGAGACAGAAGTGGTGCAGAAACCTCCCCCTTGCGTATTGCTGGGATGTAGCGATGCTCCACTCACTTGACTTTGGTGCCACCTGCAACAGCGATGTGGCCCCTGGCAGGCTCCTCCAGAGGGAACGTGGCCCTTGAGCTGAAAAAGGGTTCCCCATCCCTGTCCTGAACTATTCTCCTTTGTCACCCTCTTTTAGTGCGATCCTGCCCTGCTTCCCGAGCCGAATCACGTCATGCTGAATCACCTCTATGCCCTTTCCATCAAGGTAAGGCGGCGGCTTAAGTCGTTGCTGTCTGCCTGTGTTCAGACGGCTCCGTCTTCTGATCTCCCTCTCCTCGCAAATCTCTCCTAGGACGGGGTCATGGTGCTCAGCGCTACCCACCGTTACAAGAAGAAATATGTCACTACGCTGCTGTATAAGCCCATATGAAAGCAGAGCTGGGTGCCCGGGCCGATGGAGAAGCGGAGGGAACAAACGAGAAGCGTATGCTCTTTGAAACAGTAGCGGACTTGCTGTCGAATCATAACGCATATTTATATATATATATCTTTATATTTTTTAAAAGAGCCCAAATTTGCCTTTCTCTCTTTCTCTCCCTCCTGCTCTGAATGTTCTTTAGGCCCACAAGCAGGTACCCACTTGTGCTGCCAATCAAGGCCGTGGGTTTTTGAGGGGGTTCGTTGCCCTGTAATATTGCGGGGGGGGGGGGATCTATGAAGACGCACAAGCTGCCAAGGGCATTTAGTTTGCAGAGTTAAGACAAACAAATTTTTGAACTGGGCACTCAGAATGAATGGACACCTTCAATCGTCCAAAGTCCCCAAAGTGGCTTTCCTTTTTTCGTACAGCAATATGTGTAAGAGAAGGTGTTTTCCTTCTGTAGCAATCTGGGCATACCCTTATAAATAACTTTTTATTTTTTGTTCTCGTCCGTCCCTGCCCTCCCCGCTAGTCACCTTTTGTAACCTGGGCGCGACTTGCCAGGTTTCAGATGACTGGCAAAGGCAGCCAGCTTTGGTTACTTTCCAGCAGAAAATGCTTGGCACACCTTTCAGTTTACTGCAGCTGGACTGATGGCTTTAGGTTGGTGGTTTCACTGTCCAGTGGGCAGCGGGATATTACGAAGAGGCTAGAAGAGTCGGACGCTGCTGTGAAGCTTCGGGACCAACCCTTTCTGGGTCCTATGAGCCTCCTTCCCCCCCCCCAACTTCTTGGATAGTTTGCTCAGAAATGTGGCTCCTTCCTTTCCAAAGATTAGAACTCCCAAGCAATATTGCTGCCCTGCTCCAGGGTTGCGAGGGAGGTGGGCTTTGCACCCCAGGCCTTCACATGTCTCTACGCTAAGGAATCAGGATGCTTCTCCTCTTAAACAGCTGTAGCCTCCCCTTGTTTGTGGAAGGAGGCTCGTCAAGGGGCTATGCCTCCCATAAAAGATAAGCTGCCTGCTTGTCCCTCCCCCCCACAAAAAAGGCCAATTAATGTGTTGTCTGTCACACCGAGGTGCACACACTCCCTAGCCTGCTGTGGCACCAGCTTGTGCCTTCTTAGCCAAGCGAGCCCTGTGTGGTTTTCCCCCTTCTGATTCCTTACCAATCTTTTGAGGCCACCAGGCAGTTTTATTGCTTTGAGTAGCTGAAACTGATGTATAGGTATAGGTAGAACAGGCGCTCTAGAACAGGGGCTGGCTAACCTGTGGCTCCTCCAGGTGTCATTGGGCTGCGACCACCTTCCTCCCTAACCTCGTCTGACCAGCTGTTTGGGACAGATGGGAGCTGGGCGGCTCCAAGCTCCCATCCCTGCTCTAGACCGCTGTTGAGGACAGTATTTCACGTCTGCTTTTTTTAAAAAAAAATCTGTTTGCTGTTTTATTGGTTCTCTTCAGAAATCAGTTTTTTTAAAAGAAAATAAAATCAGTTTACATAATGAAGAGTGAGCATTTCCTCTGCACCTTTCTCGAAAGGAACACAGGTTAATTTCCCGACATTAGGGCAAAGGTTGCAACCCATACTGTCACCTGTGACCTGTTGCAATATGTGAGAGGAACATGCCCTTTGGGTAGGGCAAGACAAAGGTCGGGGGGGGGGTTATATGGTCGGGTTTACAGAGTGCTGGAGGTCAACAAAATGATTGTCTCGCAGTGGAGCTAAATTAGCTACATTACAGGAAAATGTAATGGTCACTATATAGTAGCCTCTCAACCTGTGATCCCTCTTGTTCCAGGATGGTTAAGTTATTTCAGCCTGAGGGCCACACGCCAGTGGTAGGTGGGGCCAGAGGCAAAAATTGGGTGGACAAATGTAAATGCAACAAATGTAAATGCTACCTTTGTACAGTAGGCTAGTCTCTACTCAAACAGCCCTCTCTAATCTCCATCAACCAAGGGAGAGACATTATCAGCGTTCAAGGACAAACTGGAGGGCAAACTGGATAGGTCTGGAGGGCTGTATTTGGCTCCCGTCTGAGGTTCCCCACCCTCTGCTCTAGTTATTTTCACTATGATGAGGAAGATGAGCTAATCAAAAAGATCAGACTCTGGGAGCAGGCAGGCAAAGAAGCAAATGTCCAGAGTCATGCAGATTAGGGCAAAACAAATTCCTAACTACACATATGTGCTTGTAGTGACTAACCAAGAAGAGAGTTCTGGAGGCTATAACAGATAGCTTGGTGGAAATGTCAACTCTGCGTGGGGCAGGGTTTTTTTGTTTTTTTTGGGGGGGAGTGTAAACTCCATCTAGGTATTGCTAGAGAAAGGGTGGAAAAAATAAGACCGCCACTATCATTATGCTGTTGTACAAAAACAATGGTGTGAGCAGTTGGGATACCATAGCAGAAAGACACACAGTGGCGGGAAAGGTTATGGCATTTGAAGAGTTTCAGTTTAACAAAAAGAAAAAAGGAAGGCAGGTTGATATTATAGATGTTTAAAACTGTGTATGGTACATCGAAAATGGAGAGAAGCTTTTTTCCTGTATTCGTAACTCTAGAAGCTGAAGGGTCATTCAAGGAAGCTAAAAGAGGGTGGGGGGGATTCAGGACACAAAACAACTTCTTCCCACAGCACATTTAACTATTTCTCCCCGCAGAAACTTTAAAAGAAGTTTAGAATTATTCATGGAGAAGGGTATAGATAGCGACTAGCCACAAGAGCTGCCTCCAGGATGAGGCAGGATGCTTTTGCCTTTATGCCCTGGCTTTTATGTTTCTCACAGGACATTCAGTTGGTCACAGTGGGAAACTGGATCTGAGACTAGATGCCGTCCAAGCCAAGCAGCTCTTAGGCTCTGACATCTCTAAAACTGCTAGGCTTATGAGCCTAGCAGTTACTGGGACATTTAGAACATCAAAAAAGCCTTGCTGGATGAGGCCAGCGGTCTGTCAAGTCCAACATCCAGTTCTCTGGCTGCGAAGTCCACAAGCGAGACCTGGAAGACAACACAGCAACCTCTCCCCACTTGTGATTTCCTGTAACTAGCATTCAGAAGCATGCTAACTCTTGACATATCTGTTATGGCTCATGTAACTATGGCAAATCCTCCTCGAATTTGTCTAATCCTCTTTTGAAGTCAATTAAGCCCGTAAATTCAACCATGCTGGATCAGGTTAACCATTAAGGGCAGATGAGAGTTGAAGTCCAATATCTGCAGGGCCGCATGTTCCCCACCCCTGCGTCAAAGGTATAAAGCGACATTTAATATATAAAGGACAAATTAAGAAGTCATAATGAACAAGATTTTCACATTAAAACTTCTCTGCTGGCTCCGTTTTAAGCAACCATGCATAAACAGCTCTTGCAGAGGCTGAATCGCCATACCTAATAACATTTATCTCTCATATAGACACACCCTTTTTCTTACATAATCCCAAGCTCTTCTGAACTCAATAGATCTACTGCTTTTTTGCCCCCAATTTTTTTAACATTTTTTAAATTAATAAACAAATAAACCAAATATTGCACACCTGTGTGATATTTTCGCCCCAATAAATGGCATTAGATTCAATTTGAAATCCTCAAGACTACGACTGAAATCTTCCCCACCTGCAATTTTTGGTGACTATAAATATAAAACTGGAGAGATAAGGGAAGCGAGTGGCCAGTTTTAGGTTAAGGGGAGAAGTCTGCTGGACGGCAACTCCCAACCCCAGCCAGCTCTACGCACAGCTAGCACGACTCGCTGCCCTTGACGTTTCATTGTTGCAGACCACATCCACTAGCAGGAAGTGCAGCTGTGTTCACCAGGAGTTGAGCAACAGCACTAAGTGTATTCTCAGAAAGTTCCCTGTTAGCTTCAGGGGCGTGGGGAGGTAGATAAGAACCCCCCCTCCTGTTAGAACAGCCTTCCCCTCTCATCTGTGCCCTAGTCAGTTTAGCTGGTGGTCAGCAGCGGTGGGAGATTTAATCTAACCATTTGGGGAAGGCTGTTGGAAATGGGAGAATGACTGCTATGATGCAGTACGGTCATGTAAAATTCAGTTGCCCAGAAACTCAGCTTCCCAGTTCTGGCCCCTGACAGCTTCGAATATGGAGTGTGTGGGGCGGGGGCTTTGCCAGATGAGATCCCAGAAGTCAGGTGAGTAACTGAAGATGTGCAATGCTTGGGGGCAGGCCTTCAAACCCTGCGTACCCCTCCCCACCGTGAGCAAAATGCAGAATTATGCGCAGCTAGAGATGATGGAAGGACGCAAGGGTCGGTGCACCCATATTGCTGACTTAATCGCAGGAGAGCAGCGGGATGAGACGGATGTCTCGCTATTGTTCCACCAGTACAGAGTCCGAATCTCCCTGCGCTTCTCTTCGGGGCCATGTACCCAAAACCAGTCCATGCTTTGAATATGAACCTTCATCCAGACTGGTAGGTATTACTCGAAACACGTGACGCCCATCTAATACACGTTTTATTCACAGGTTTATGTGCGCAGCACATTTGGAAAGTGCAGAAAAATAAAGGAACATTTTGTAAACAAGCTTGCAGTTCATTTATACATTCAAGATTAGGCACAACAGAAGTCAAAGCAGTTTGGTTTTTTTGTTTGTTTATGCAGAGCATCACTATGAGCTATATGGAGACCAAAAGGTGGTGGTTAAGGTGGTGGTTGGGGCGGGGCTGGGGGGGGCATCGCTTACTGGTAACCTACCCATAGCAGGCTGGGAAAAGGTTAGGTGTACAACTCATCAGGAAACACACTTCAGTTCCTGTAAAGCCGATAAGTTAGTAACAGACACACACGATCCCTGTAGAAGAATACATCAGACCCTGTAGAAACTGGCTTCGTTTAAAAATAGAAGTATTTACATTATAGTCTGAACTTGCATTCTCTTGCCAAGCGTTACTTGTTTTGAGATGTACAGTCTGAATTAACATGGGCAATAAGTTGTTTTTTTTACAAAACAAACAAACTTGAAGCTTTAGGGGTGTTGTTGCTAGGAAGAGGGCAAGGAACTATTCCCCCTTTGTTGTTTTAGGACGGTGCTTATGGGAAGCCATTGGCTCGTGTGTCTCTGCCGGGACCGCTGACCTGCTCAATGTTTAAAAATGGACAGATTGGCTTCCTAATGGGGACGGGATAGCTTACTCCAGGGCTGAAGATGGAGAGCTGGAAGTTTAGCAATTGCTGCTGCTGCTGCTGCTGCGTTCTAGAAGGCCTGGCAGCTTTTATCCTGCAGCAATGGAGAGGGTTGGGATGCTCAGCTCATCCCTGTGACTTCAGGTAACAACCATGGAAGCCAAGCACTCACAGAGTAACTTCTGACAATTTATTTATAGTCTTGCTACTTGAAATATTTATAACGCCACCTTTCTGCCTGACGACAGGCCTCCAGGATGGCAGACGACAAGTGAAAGTTAGTATATAATTTTTTTAAAAATCCCCCCCTTTTAAAAGGCAGTGGTGAGTTATAAAGGCTCTGGGAGACAACAATGGAAGATATGCTCTCCCACCCGCCTTAAGCTGCTGCTGCTGCTCCTGTAGGAAGGAAAAGGTCACTGCACCATGCCAGTCAGAGTGAATTTTGTTTTTATTTGATTATTGTTAACAACAAGTTCGATACTTTTCCAGGTGGCGTGTGAGTTGCTCCTGTTGTTTCTTTACCTTTTCTGCAACCGTTAAAAGGTAGTGACGACAAATTCTATATTGTAGTTATGCTCGAGAACCTCACTGACGCTAGCAAGCTTCCGCTTGCAAATTTAACGTTATTTCTTCATGGGATTCCTGGAGGGTGAGGGCGAGGCCCCTTCAAGTAGCTGAAGACGCCTTTCCCCAGCCACCGTTAAAACAAAGGGCTGGTGGTTGAAAATAAAGATGCACACTTTACAATAAAAAAGTAGAAACTGATTTGATTTCCTTTTTTTTTTGTTTTTTACGAATATAAAGTTTCTTGTAAATATGTACAGTCCTTTGAGCTATTCTATAGCAGGAAGCATTTCACAAACAAGACACAAGATATACACTCTCAGGACTCGACAAGCCGAGCTTTCAGGTCACGAGGGACTTTTTTTTCCATGAGATGCAAAGACCTTAAAAACCTTTCAGAACACCCAGACCCAGAGGCAGAAGTCTCAGCATGTTTCCTGACAAACCATCTGATATAAAATAGCCCGGATATACAACAGACCAGACCCTGTAATCCACAAGACCCTCCAGAAGGGCACTGATTGAAGCAGAAGAGATTTTAGGTGCCTCTCCAGTAGGGCAGCACCAGCTGGCAAAAGGAGTAAGCAGGAGAGGCAGAGTGGGATTTTTGCTCTTGCCAGCTTGGAGTGAAACGCAGCAGCTAAAGCAAACCAAATGGCCGAAAGCCTAAACTTGGAAACTTGTTTGCCTCGGTGGCTCAGCAACACCCGGACGTGAGAAGCTATAGAGGGGATTGCAGCGGGGAGGCAAAAAGTGATGGAGAAATGTTTGGAAGAGTTCGCCAAAGCTGTTAAAATTTGCCTTTATCCTCACTGCCGGGAAGGGGTGGTCCGTTGCTGTACTAGGGATGGGGAGCCTGCCGACCTCCAAAACGGGAGCCAAATGGGGACCTGACGAAGGCAGGAGCAAATGGCACGGTGAGAGCACCTACTCCCCAAAAGCTGCTGCCTGCCTTTGACCACCAGGTGAAGCCATCAACCCATTCCCACTGACTGTGGGCCTCCAGATGTTGGGCTCTGTCTCCCATCAGTCCTGGCCAGCGATCATTATGGGCCCAACGCCAACAGGAGAATCAAAGGTTCCCTGTCCCTGACCTACCCCAAAAAGTACAAACCACACTATGGCTTGTTTTGTTTCGGTCCCCCACTCCCCTCTTTGGTAGCGTCTGAGCGCTGGTTGCACTGCTGCGGCAAGGAGGGCCTTTCCTTTAGCTTAGCCTTTATCCAGTATATAGTGATACGTTTGTGAACAGGATCCTGCCTAGTGCTGGCTGGGGATGGGAATGTCGTCATGCCTCGCTAAGTTCTGTTGTCGTGGAATCGAGAACTGTTAAAGCTCATTCTCCTTCAGTGCCAGTTTCCCCAGTAAACAATGATGGTTAATTGTTGCAGCATAATCTATAAAGGCTTCAGTTTAGTTAACACGGGAGGTACAAGATACAATATCTAGCAAAAGCAACTGAAAAGGAGACTGCAGCCAGGAGGATGGTGGTGTATAGAAGCATGCAGGGAGCTGCCATGCAGAAAACCTGGGTAAGAGAGGGAGGTTTTACACCTCCATACTGCTTTAGTGCAGAAGGAGAGAGTGAGAGAAGTGGATCGCGACCACTTATTCTGTGTTATCGCGGGATATTTGGGGAGAGCTAAAACAGGACGTTCCCTTCCCTGTAACCCGGCTGACGGCAGAACTGCACTTAACGGGTATCTTTTTCTTTGGGAATCCTAAATTCCAAAAGGTTTTGGAAGGAGCGGATGGACTAAATTGATCAGGCTTTCTCTAAAAGCTCTACAGCAGAAGCTAATGATGTTGGGTGTGGAGACACGAATCGCTGTGGCCTTTTGCCGGTTAAAGGGCCTTCCCAGAATTCCAGCATCTTTCCCAAATGCTGATATAGCCCACCTTTCAAGATGTAGGTGAGATCCCCATCCCATCTGACTTCTGTTGATGGGGGGTGGGGCGAGGGGGGGCTGGTAAAAGGCTAAAAGCGAAGTATAAAAAGTCCATGAACTGCTTGAAAGAGCAACGGTAGTAACAAAGTGCTCAAAAAGAGGGAAGGGGCAAGAAGAGAGAGAAGGGAAGAGAAAAACCGAACTGCAGGAAGCTGCAGGAAAAGAAACTGAGATGCAAACGATCCTTGCGAGCAACTTGAGTCCTGGTGGATCAGATCCTGTTGCCAGAGCAATTATTTGGGGCCCAGTGCTGTTGGCTGGGTGGGTACCTGGGCAGCTAAGTTAAGAAGTGCATCTACTCAGTACATTTCCTCGGCTCTTCCTGCAGTTCAAGGTCAAGGGGAGGCTTGTGTAGCTTATACTGACGACTGGTCCCAGACCTGTTACAGAAAGGAAGAAAATGATATGAAGTTCAGCAGATGCACTTGGCGTCAGAGTTCCTAGAATTGTTTACAGCAGTGCTGGAC